ATTTCGACATATTACACAGTCCTACTATGAAGAAACAAATTCATCGATGGCCTGAGGGTGAGTACATTTTCAATCAATTTTAATTTTGGGGTGAACAACTGCTTTCAGAAATAAGTTGTGCTGCTCAACATTTTTTGATGAATAGAAAGTTCAAAAGAACGGCTTTTTTTATCTATATCTTTTGTTACATTATAAATGTTTTACTGCATCCTTGCTGAATGTAAGCATTCATTTCTTAAGGTTACTGACATCAAACCTTTGAATGGTAGTGTATATTTATTAAATATTGTATAGAATGAAATGAAATGTATATAAACTTTTCTTTGTCCTTGCGTGCTTTGAGTGAGAGCATTATCCTTCACAGCGATTGAGAGAGTCTGTCTAGCCTTTTTGTTATCCTCCTCAAAGGTTGCACTGAAAACACTAAGAGTGAATGATGGAGCGTCACATGTGACCGTTAGCTCACCTCCACAATGCCGTGACTGATGGTTCCATACTGCCTCTTCCTCAGCAGCACCAGACTGATCACAATCACGGTCGCTATGGCCACTGCAATCACCAGCAGGCCAATCAGAGCGCTGCTTCCGAAGCTGAAATCATCCACCAGGGGGCGGAACGTCTCCTGCTCTGATCCACGGCTGAACTGTGAGGGAAAAATAAACACCAGCGTTGCAGTATTTACATTCCAAAAGCACAAAGAGCCAAGACAAACATGGTTAACAGACATCTTAAAGAGCTGTCGATGCCACTGAAGCAAGGAACTCATTCTGTAACTTAAGTACAGGGAGACAACAACAAAGTTGCCATGGCTACATATAATGTGCCATAACTGGTACCAAATGAGAATCGAAAGAATTTGCTACAGAAACAGATATTCTCCAAACACTGTCTGACGTTCCATCACACTTCACCTGAATACGGTTTTAAATCACGTGACTACACAAACATGTATGGTCTTCTTGAGACAGCGTAAATCAAGCCTGTATCATTTTTTTTCAGTGCTTCTTAATGGGACAGTTCATCCAAAAATATATATTGTTCATCATTTATTATTTTGTGGAACACACAAAAAAAGATACTTTGAAACATGTTCATGCTGCTCTTTTCCAACATTCACTCTTTGTGTTCCACCCAAGAAAGAAAGTCATATAGGTTTAGAATGATAAAACTATAATGATAATTATTACTATAAAGTTGTAATAATTAATCAAATCCGTTTAAATAGATATGTCCGTAACGTACTATAATGATAATGGCACAAAGGAAAAACATCTTTGGAATCACTTCCGGAATGGATTTTTCCAGCCTATGAATGTTAAAAACACTGACAGCTAATCGAAAACTACAAAGAAA